TCATTGTTGTTTGGCAAGCCCGGGCTGGATTTGAACCCGCCAGCTCAGGTGTACGTGGCTGGCGCCTTAGCCGCTTGAGCCATGGGCGCCGAGCCGGGTTCTGCACTTAATAGTCAAATACAAGCAGAAACTAGGTCTAGTTAACTATCCTGTAGTCTTGGTGTGCATAGATATTTCTGTGGTAGTTCACATAGCTAAATGACATCTAAATTCTAAGTAGGTTTTAGCCGCAAAGTCTCCTAGTGGCTTTACATTATCAACAGGTCATTATAATGCCAAATCCTTTGTGTTCACCAATACCAGCAATATAAGTAACACAGGACAGCAACTGAACAGGTAAAATCAAGTAAAGGGAAATAATTCTTGATTTTGACCTCAAACTTGATGAACTAAGTATTTCCATCTCGGAGGTCAGAAAACGATTTGAAAATCCAAGTAGGTATAGGTGCTATGCCTATATGCAACAGTGATTCATCCCTTGGTGTCAGAACTAATGAAGGGGTCACATCACTTCCAGCTTGGAAGGTGTTAGGGATTTTTTTTTTTTTTTTTGAGACAGGAGCCTCAAGCTGCCCCCCTGGGTAGAGTGGCATGGCATCACAGCTCACAGCAACCTCCAACTCCTGGGCTCAAGCGAGTCTCCTGCCTCAGCCTCCTGAGTAGCTGGGCCCACAGGCGCCCGCCACAGCGCCCGGCTATTTTTTGGTTGCAGCCATCATTGTCGTTTGGCGAGCCCAGGCTGGATTTGAACCTGCCACCTTGGGTGTACATGGCTGGCGCCTTAGCCACTTGAGCCACAGGTGCCGAGCCCGTGTTGGGGATTTATTAACTGTCTCATTTCCGTGTGTGTAACTTGTCTACAGCCAACACTCCACTAGGGTAACTTAAAACAAAATAGGAATTTATTTACAATAGCAAAGATGTCAAAAATAACAGGAACAATATATAACAAATCCAAGAATTATTTTATGAAAAAGGCAAACAATATATACATGAAACAAAAGAGCAAACAAAATCCATAGGGCAAACTTAATTTTGACCTTATCTAAACAGCTGCAGAATGTGGTAAATGATTTTTTGAGTATGAATTACTTTTGTAACCCCAGGCCAATTAAACACACATGCGCACACACATACACAAGTTTGTCAGCCTTTTCTTTCACTTGCTGAATCATCCTCTGAACTGCTTACCTGTGAGGAATGTAACTATGGGAAGCCATGTAAGATTTAGGAAGAGTAGGCTATTTTTTACATGTGCACTAAAGGACAAACTTATTGACAGGCAGGCTCACACTTCAAAAGGACAAACTGAAGGTATAAGCTGTCTGGGTCTTCTTTTATTTTCACTGCTCAATTCTGGTTTTTAGTTTCACTTTTGTGATCTCATCTGCCACACACGTTGCACCAGTAACTGAACTCTTCAAGTACCCTAGAAATGTTTCCCAAACCTGAGCATGCATCAGAATCACTTGGAAAACACATTAAAACAAAGATGGCTCTGTCCCATACCCTGCTTCCCAATTAGTGGGAGTGGGGTGAGACTGAGAATTTGCATCTTTTAAAAAGTCCCAGGTGATTATGCTGCCAGGCCACACTTTGAAAATCACTGCTCTGAAATATCATCCCTTTTAAGGTATTCATTGGCCATGGGTTTCCTTACATGAACCCTAGCAATTTTGGAAAATGCAATTGTTAATACTAAAATTCCAGAGAACAGAGCAGCGATTATCTGACTGGCTGAGATCATGGACTGGTTGGATGTCATTTGTGGGACTTTCCATTACAACTAAGTTTTTCAGCATGCTATAGTTTTATGGCTCTGGACAGTGACATTCATCACATTTTCTTGATCATTTACGTCAAATTTTGATTGTTTACTATTTCAACTATCAAGCAAACACTTGTTTGTTCAGTTAAACTGCGTAATCTCACTTTTAAAATCAAAGATACAAGAACTCACTCTCTCTTGACTCTGGGTAACTTCTACCTAACTTCTGATGTTTTACGATGGCAATGACCATTCTCTAATAGCATCAACTAGAGACCTCCAAACTGGGCACAAAGGGGTAATCCGAGGACAGAGCTTCTGCTATGGAAGAAGTGACAGTCCCCACTGATTATATGTGCTGTGAATTGATCCTGAAATGAACTTTAAGTGCTCTCAAAAACCACTTTATGCATGGGTAATTTATCTCAGGGGAATTGGAGATGCTAATAAAACAAATCCTTTATGAAGATAAAAGAAAAAAATAAATTTCAAGGACATGCTCATCAAAGAACTCACCAATCACCTCTTAACTTCTCTGAAATATTACTTGCAAATTCACAGGACTGAAATATTATCAGTATTTGCATTTGAGTCACAAAATTCAAAGCAATCAAGCGTTTTGCATTCCACTGCTGCATAAAAGAAATTAAAACTGGGGGGGGATGAAAATAATCCACTGCTTTTGATGTTTATTAGGTTTACAAAAACTGTACATTTCTTTTTCTTAAGAAAAAGCATTAACTTAGTACTGGTATCAAATAGACTAAACATTCATTAACAGGAAAATATTCTGATTTTTATTTTTGCACGTTCTCAAGTACACAATTACAATAATGTCACACATCCCTATATGATTTTCTTTTTATGTATTTTGCTTTTTTTACAAAGTATACAGAGGGCGGGACATACAATATTTAATAGGATATTTCTACAGAACAATAACTTATATTATGTCCTTGTAAAAATCTGTACCTCTTTAAAACATTTAACTGAAACATCCATTTTTTTTTAGCTTTGCTAATCAAAATTGATTTAAGAATTAAAACTAGGTTGTAACTAATGTCAGTACATAACAGTGACTACAATTTCATTTTCTCTTTATACAGACAAATACATTTTATCATATTCACTTGACCAAACCCTTAAATACCTTTTAAAGGTTTCAATATTGTGCTTTAAAAAGAAAAGAACTGTGTATGATTCCAGAGTATGTACGAGAAATATAAAGTGTGTAAAGTGTTGTGTTCTTTATCTTTCAGTTCATTTAAAAAAATATAGTTAAATGACCCAATCATTTATATTTTCTGTACTAATTTTATAGGATGTTTTAAAATGCATAAATTTCCACTTTCATTTAGATATTTTACATTCTTCTGGGGAAAAATAAAAATTAAGGGAGATTTTAAAGATTCCAAAAAAAAAAAAAAAAACAAAAACAAAAAAACAAAAACAAAATGAACAGAACTTTCAAGAATACCAGGGCAATGTATCACATAATGTTAAGTTACTTTAAAGGGAAAAAAAGAAGCATGTTATAGGGGCCAAGAAGATACAGGAATTCCCTATAGGATAGGCTAGGAAAACCCATGCCTTGGCTTTGACTGGTAGTTAGGCTGGAGTTCACACCAGCCTAAAGCACTTGATTTAGAACTAGACTATATCAACCCAGCACTCCAAAGGGTTGCCAAACACCGAATATTTTGATTTACTAACCCTAAAAATATAACTCTTGAGTACAAATATCGGTGGCAAAGAGAAAGATGAAAGGTAAAAACCTAACAGCCCAAAGGGGATGGAGCACCATAATGCGGTGGCAAGGCAGCTATCAAGTGGGAAGCCAATTCAAGGGACCCCCAAAATTGTATTCTATTCCCCAAGATTCAACTTAACACAACCAAATTCTAATTAACCAAGTTCCTTTTATGAATTTATGACTCTGATTTAGACCTGTTAAAATATGCCTACTCTGAAAGAAAGAACTATGAAAAACTTGGTGATATTCCAAATAAGGCCTCAGACTTTCCGTATCCACTTACAACATCATGCCTTTATCCTGTAATCAAAGCCAACTTGAGGTTAAGTTTTTAAAAGTTTGCTAACTGTAACTAAGAAATAACAGAGCAGGCTGAACTTGCCAAGTGTAAGTCGTAATTAGCACCCATTCTCTGGTCCACAGAGAGCCACTGCTTCCTCTCTGTCCCCCTCACTTGGTGAGACAGAGTTGTCTCAGAAAGAACTGTGAGAGTTATGTCTGGATACTCATTAGTTTTTCAGAAAAATATAAAGGCATGGAGCTGAAATTGTACGAAACATTCTATCTAGAAACATCTTAACTTCTATTTTGTAATTACCAAAGATATTTAAAAGAAAATACCTTTACTCTTCAAAAATACTAGTGTCCTTATTTTCCTTCTAATTCTTAACCTGAGTAGTCTCTCTGAAGAGCATGACTTACAAAATGCTCTCTCGTGCATCCCTGGATCTTTCATGTTATTGTAAATTTAATACTTTTCATTATAGATTTTAAACAACTACTACTTGGGGTTGTGTGTATAAATATGTAAAATAAGCAATACACACAGATACATGTCTTATATATGTGTATACATATAATTCAGGGTACATTTACATATATAAAGTTGCAAAAGATCCTATAAGCCACAAGTTACCTCTAGGAGATTCCAAAATGCGGTCTTCAATAAGTCTCATTTGTAGCACACAACCATTCCAAGACAAAGCAGCACAGATAGAATAATAAAAATACAATAGGATCAAGCAAAATTTTTCAATAAGGTTTTCTAAAACTTTGCTACACTGACAAAAGATGTAAATAGTCCAAAGAAAGTCAAAGAAGTATATTTTGTCTGCTAAACAAAATGAAAAGTAAACACGAACCCAGCCACTGTTCTTTACTCAGCAATGCCAGGGACGCAAAAGCTCAAATGGAAACTTTCACTATCATGTGGTCTGAAAATATTAAGCAAGACAAGTAAATGACTTTTCATGTTATGATAATTAGACCTGACCATAAAATCTCCCGTTTATATTAGTAGATGTCTCTGATAATTTCATTGTGAGAAATTCATGGGAAACAAAATGAATCAACATGAATACTTTCAGAGTTACCAATCTAAAGTTACCTTAAGGTAAATGGTCTTAGAAGAGTACCATCAAGGTAAGCAAGGTAAATATTTAAATAAATATAAAACTTCTAAGATAGAAAAATTCAGTATAGAACCAGGGATTAATTAATTAAAAGCAACATGCTTGTTGCCATTTTCCCCCATTTATTAAACAAACTGAATAGAATTCAGAACACGCTATTGAACAAAATGTAAAAAAAAAAAAAAAAAAAAAAATCAACTAGAAGCATTAATTCTATTTGTACACAGCATAAATCAATATACAGTATTGTATGTGAACAAGACTGGTTGGCTTTAAAATTAATTTTCTGTTTCAAGGCCAACATCTCTACAAATGTCTGCAGAAGTACTGTTAGGGCAAGCCAACTTCTTTATGATGCCGCATTATGTGCTGGTTCTTTTCTGAAGGTCTTCGGAACCCTTTCTTGCAGTACTCGCACCGGTGAGGATAGTCTTTTGTGTGAATGGAAATAACGTGTCGCTTAAAGCCTGAGGCATCTGTAGTGCTATACTCACAGTACTCACACTGATACACTTTCCGGCCACTATGTGTCTTCATATGCTTTTTAAGCTCATTCTGTTGCCTAAATCCCTTTCTACATCTCTTACACCTAAATGGAAGATCCTTTGTGTGAACTGACAGAATATGGCGGCTTAGAATAAATGGATCTGCAATCTTAAAGTCACAATGTCTACACTGGTGCATTTTTTTACCCTTGTGGGCAGCCACGTGTTTCTTGAGTTCTGAAGGCCGGTGGAAGCCTTTCTCACACATATCACACTTGTGGGGATAGTCCTTCGTGTGAACTGAAATTATGTGTCGTTTCAAATCACTTGAGTTTGAACTCTTATGGTCACAATGCAAACACTGGTGCGTTTTGCTTTCTTGGTGGATGAGAGCATGTTGCTGCACCTCTTTGGTATCTGAGAAAGTCAGAAGACAAATGTCACACTTGAATGGCATCTCTTTACTATGCTTAGTCTTTACATGCGTTTTCAAGTTAGAAGAGTCTGCAGACCTATACTCGCAGTACTGGCATTGGTACGGCTTCTCCCCAGTATGGATTCGCATGTGCTTTTTGAGCTCTGACGGGTGACGAAAACCTTTACCGCATTCCACACAAATATGAGGAAAGTTCTTGCTGTGGACTGCCAAAAGGTGGCGATTCAATAACCCTTGTTCAGCCGTCTCGTATTCACAGAATTTACACTTGTGCATTTTGTTGGCTCCCTTTTCTTTATGCACCATTTTGTGAGTAAACAAAGCCCCAGCGTGAGAGAAATGCTTCCCACACTCATCGCATTCGATGGCTTTCTCTGCCTTGCTGGTCAGCTTATGACTCTCCAGGTGGTTGTGTAAACTTATCTTCTTGTTGGTAGTGTAATCACAGTCGGTACAGCGGTACTTCTTCTTGGCAAGGTGTTCAGGATGGTTTTTCATGTGCCTTTTCAAAAAACCTCTCGACTTAAACTTTTTCCCACAAATCATGCAAGGATAGACAGTCAAAGGATGTCCATCAGGGCCAATAATTATTGCTAAGAAAAGAAGAGAAAAAATATGAATTATCAAACCAAGTTCTTTCTGGTTTCTCTAGGAATTTAAAGTATGTATTCTGACCACTGTTGGCCAAAGAGTCCTAAGGTAAATATTGGCTACATAACATTTCTTTTACCATTTTCAACATGAGAGATACAGCAACCAAGGCATAAAAAGAAACTAGTCTGGAAACTTCATCCAGTAATACCGCATCAATCTCACTCCTTCAGTTTAAAAATATTAATGAATATGTAACTTCTATCAAGTAGTGATTAAAAGCTGTAACAATTTAGAGATTAAGAATTTATTCATAAAAGTAAAGTTTTATAATCAAAATTTCTGCTTTAGTTATTCCAAAAACCATAATTTATGTTAATTTTCAATAAAGCCTAAATATACCCGTATAATTTTTTAATATGCAAATCATTATACAAGAATAGACAGGACTATGCCATATGAACTGAAGTACTTATCCTGCTGCTCTATAAATTATGCCTGCTTTATGCTGACATAATTAGATTTAAGAAGTTAATGCTTATATTTGAGGCGTTTCTTTTCATTTCCACATAAAAATCATTTGACCTTTGAATTTTTGTTTAATCCACATTTGATCCATCTCCTATTTCTTCTTATCCAAGGAAATCATTCATGAATATCACTGAATTCTGAAAATTATTATTTTTAAATTCATATACAAAAGCTACATGTGGTCTAGCAGCTAAAATGCCATCATGTCACCCCTGTGGATACATACTAGAGTTTCATCTGAGAGCTCGCAGAGCATGCTGCGCCGTGGAACTCGTATGCCCTCACCTGTTTGGTACTGCCTGGAATCAGGTCTTCTCCTTTTCTTTGGTTTTTGTTTAGCCAGTCTGCCGAGGCCAGCAGACTCATCTATGTGCAAGAGGGCACTTGCAGTGCCATTCCGGTTTTCAATTCCATCAGAATTATTACCTAACAATGTGCATTAAAAAACAAAATTATACAGTATTATAAATTCTAAAGAATTAGGAGTTCTTTATTAATTACAACAATGAAAAGTAAGCCATGATACTCATGAATGACAGAAATTCCCCATTCTAGGTAATGGGTTTCATGAACACATTTATTATAGAACATAGGAACTGCCTAGCTTCCAAAGCTAAAAAAAATATATAGACTCCCTTGTTGTCTCCCAAAATTGTAAAATCATGGGCCAGACATAATCAAGATGGGAAGTTTCAACTTGAAAGCCCGTGTACTTCTTGCAGTACTTCCTTCTACGTAATATACACATGAAGGAAATTCCTGTTAAAAATAAAGACAAAAAGTAGACTTTATAATCTTCCTCTACTCTTATTTAAATCAAATAATCCTTATGGGGTACTGGTATTTCAAATTCTGAAACCTAAGACCACAGAAACAGTTTTTCAATCATGAATTCATGTTCAAAACCAATTCAAACAATCTTAAGAGCTGCTAGGTGACTTACCATAGGCTGCTGCCCATGCAATCGGCATGAAGGTTTTGATTTCATTGTCATCCATTTGTTGCTCATGCACAGCAGCTGCTGCCGCTGCTGCCGCCGCATCCTCCTCTCCTACGATCACTTCCATATAAACTTCATCAGCAATCTCGGCAACATCTAAATAGAAAGTTATAAAAACTTTTGTGATCAGTTTTACAGAGCTCATAGGAAACATGTTTTTATTTGAATTCAGTTAATAGACAAAAAGAAAGACGGTCCAAACATTACATACCTAGAACACAGTTTTCATGTAGTAAGCACTCAATAAATATTTGTTGAATTAATCATTCACTTCTTGGTGTTCATCACCATAATTTGGTTTTAAAGCAACATTCTCAGCATACATAAAGAGTCATTGATGTTTCCCTTGGTGTATGGTAACACAGTGATCTCTCAAATAATATTACTTGTTTCAAATACTGGCCATTAAAAAAAAGCCACAGAATCATAAAATTTTCTCCCACAGAAAGTCCACCTACTTACTTAAATCTTCATCTTCTTGTTGAGAGTCATTGACAGTCATATAAACCATTTTTTCCCTGGGAACACGAATACTGGTGTTCTGATCAAGCAGTTCAACTCCATGATCATTCTCAGGCTCACTCTCCACAATGTCTACTGTTCCACCTATCAGGGAAGAAGACAGCTCCAAGAGTTTATTTGAAAACTTCATTTCCATCTGTTTCTTTTTTTCTTTTTTTTTCTTTTTGCAGTTTTTGGCCAGGGCTGGGTTTGAACCTGCCACCTCTGGCATACGGGGCTGGCGCCCTACTCCTTTGAGCCATAGGCGCCACCCCATCTGTTTCTTTTTATATACTTTTACATACTTTTTTATTATTGCATTAGAATTCTTATATAAAAGTTATCTTCAGAAAAGATTTCAAATGTTCGCAATCTAAATAACCCAAAAGTATTCAGGTTGCAGCATCTGGATGAAGATGTATAATGTACTAATGGTTTCCTCTTACCTAAGTCATCCTCTCCAGGGTCAGCTTTAAAAATGTACACCTTGATGACTTCAGGGCAAGTGCCATCCACTTTACAAGGATCGATTTCTGTCTCTGCATCAATGGTCATTCCAGAAGAACCGTCATGTTCTATTTTACCAGCATCATCCACTAAAAAGGCAAGAAATATGTCACAAATAATAGCAAGTACTTAAATAAAATGTTACTATTTTCAAAAGTCCTTCTTAAAAATATAATTTCTAGCTTGAGTCACATAAAATTAGATAATTTTACCTAGAAAAGTAGAATATTCAATAAATACATTTCTAAAGACTTCTAAATGCAATCAGATATTAAAGTGAGAAATGGTATACATGGAGAAAACTCCTAGTAGCCTAGAAAAAAACTATAAGTAATGAAGAATAGACTTAGCTTTTGCTAAGCCATAGGGTAGAAGCATCCCAACATTAAAGATATTATTATTATTACTATTATTATTATTATTGTTATATTTTGAAACAGGGTCTTACTCTGTTGCCTGGGCTATCAGAGTACACTGGGATCATCCTAGCTCACAGCAACCTCAAACTCCTAGGCTCAAATGATCCTCCTGCCTCAGCCTCCCAAGTAGCTGGGGCTACAGGCACATGCTACAATGCCTGGCTAATTTTTCTTTTTTTTTTTCCTTTTAGAGATGAGATCTCACTATGTTGCTCAGACTGGTCTTGAACTTCTGGCCTCAAATAATCCTCCTGTCAAGGCTTCCCAAAGTGCTATGAGGATTCTAGGCATGAGCCCCTGCACCCAGCCAAAGATATTCTTTTGATATTTAAAGTAAAAACTTTGAAAGAATGTCCTAGCTGTAAAATCAAGACATACAGTCTTCATGTAAATATTTCATAAGCAATACTTCATAGTCACTAGTCTTAAACATTTGATCTATTTCCATTAGAATAATGTATTTAGGCTCGGCGCCTGTGGCTCAATTGGCTAAGGCGCCAGCCACATACACCTAAGGTGGCGGGTTCGAATCCCCAACCCAGGCCTGCCAAACAACAATGATGGCTGCAACCAAAAAATGGCCGGTGCTGTGGCGGGCACCTGTAGTCCCAGCTACTTGCGAGGCTGAGGCAAGAGAATCGCTTAAGCCCAGGAGTTTGAGGTTGCTGTGAGCTGTGATGCTACAGCACTCTACAGAGGGCAACAAAGTGAGACTCTGTCTCAAAAAAAAAAGGAAAAGAAAAAGGACTCCGGAAGTTTACAATATAAGTGGACAAGTAAACAGATGATTATTTTTATCTTTTTTTTTTTTTTTTTTTTTTGCAGTTTTTGGCCAGGGTTGGGTTTGAACCCACCACCTCCAGCATATGGTGGCGGCGCCCTACTTCTTTGAGTCACAGGTGCCACCCCCAGATGATTATTTTTAAATGTAGTAATAATAGTGCAGCTACCATTCGTTTATTAAGTGACTGTGCTAAAGTACTAACACAACAACCCTGTGAGAGAGGTGGTACAGTATTATCTAATTTTATAATAAAGAAAACTGAAGTTTAGAGAGGTTGAGTAACTTAATTGCAATCACTGAAAATTCAAATATCAAGTCACATAAGTCCCAATCAGAGTTTGTCCATTTCCAGAGTTTGGAGATTGGGGTTTAAATTGGTAGAGGCAATTATGATTTTTGAGAAACTAAAAAACTGTACAACTATCTCAAGATGCTTTTAGTGGAAATCAGATGCATGTGTTCATGACTCAGGTAAGGATGGTATTGCAACAAAGGCTAGGTGGTGGTGGGTTTGAGGGCTGTAACTTTTTAAATTCATAGTGTAATATGTACCCATTATCCTAAGATAGAACTCAGATTCTAACATCTGTGAAATGATAATTCTACAAAGTCCTATCATACTCTGTATCAACTCCAAAAACTGAATTTATCTAACTAAAATTCTTACATAGAACATCAAGATGGGCTCGGCACCTGTGGCTCAAGTGGCTAAAGCGCCAGCCACATACACTTAAGGTGGTGGGTTCGAATCCAGCCTGGACCCACCAAACAACAATGACGGCTGCAACCAAAAAATAGCCAGGTGTTGTGGCGGGGCGCCTGTGGTCCCAGCTACTTGGGAGGTGGAGGCAGGAGACTCGCTTGAGCCCAGGAGTTGGAGGTTGCTGTGAGCTGTGAAGCCATGGCACTCTACCCAGGGGTATAGCTTGAGGCTCTGTCTCCAAAAAAAAAAAAAAAAAAAAGAACATCAAGATGAATCTGGTATTTCAAAGGCCAACATTAAAAAAGCAAATTGATAGTGATAATTTACCAACTTGGCTTCTGACTTATTGAGAATCAAGATCATCCACATCCTAAATAAACTACTTGCAGAGAACTGCTTATAAACAGCATCCCCAAACCTCTCTTGTTATGTATAGACACGAAAATTATAAAATGTAATCAGCCTGCTTCAAAACTGCGAAGTGCAAAAATCCCAAATGCTGGCCCACTGAAAGCCATTGTTGTTTTGCTCTATTTCTGACAGTGTTAGCATCATTAAATAGCAAACTACACTTTAATATACCTTCAGTTTTGAAACCAAACAAGTCACCTGAAAATACACTTGTTGACACCTTATACTTTTCCTTACACAATTTAAAGTAAATTAAAATGGAGGTCACTTATGAGGAAAAAGCAAAAGCTTGTTTATGTAGACTATAAGACGATATTAAAGTTGAACTCTCTAATGCAATTGTTAGTAATAAACTGATACCGAGCATGGAAGAGGATTACAGAGTCAGAAATGATTGGCGGACATCACACTTGTGTGTTGGTAGCTGCCATGGGAATACAGGAAGGATACTTCATTCCTGCTGGAAGAAAAGGGCATTTATTTCAGGTAAAGGATACAGCAGGGACAAATGAGAGAGACAGGAAATGTCATGATGATAAAGGAAAGCTTTGGCGGACAAGAGCAAAGAGTAAACGAACCAGAGTGGGAATAGCAGGGAATTGAGAAAATAAATCACACAACAGACATAGATTACATGAAATATAAAGAGATGGGATCGATAGGTCTGGTGCAGCCGATGACTACAGCTAGTACCTACTCATGTGAACAGCTTTATTTATATAGTACCTAAATAAGGTTGGTTATCAACAAGGAAAGCAAGTGGGAATATTTTCATCTTACAAAGTTGAGAAATAATAGTATATGGGGTAAAGATTAACTTTAGGGAGAGAAGGCTATGTACTTTTAGGCAAAAGATAGGAAAGTATACAGAAGCTACATGACTTCTGGCAGAGGGAGCAAGGAGAAAGGACGAATGTTTTAGGAAGGGAGGAGAAGAAGTTGGGGGTCGTTTCTTGAACGCACCTCCCAGGCTGTAGGGGTCTTGCCACCTCATAATTTGCACTCCACGGAAAGCATCCTTCAATAGTGCTGAAATGTGAGGGCAAAGGCTGGTATGGGACATGGTGAGAGATGCAGCTGACTGCTGAGCTGAAGCCAGGTCACAGAGGGCCTCATGCACAGAGAAAGGGGTCCAAACTCGATCCTGGTAGGCTGGAGGGTTCTTAATCAGGTCACATGTCAAAAATCTCTTAGGGAACTTAAAAACATGGGCTCCAGCCTAGCAGTTCTAAACATTCAGAAGCTGTAGGGATGGGGCCTGATATTTAGAGACAGATTTTTTTTTTGTAGTTTTTGGCCAGGGCTGGGTTTGAACCCACCACCTCCAGCATATGGGGCTAGCACCCTACTCCTTTGAGCCACAGGCACCGCCTTATAGAGACAGATTTAGAGGCACCCTGTCCCTCAGAGTCTGATCAGGAGTTTGAAAGCATCTGCTTCAGGTGATGGGAGACTTTTAAGCAGAGCAGGGACAAAGTCAGATGTCTATTTTTGCTATACTACCCTGCTGGCCTTGGAAAGGTAGATCCAAAGGGATCAAGACATGAAGCTGGGACAATACTTGTGAACCTGCTGCAATAATGCAGGTGACAGGTGGCAGACAGCAAGACTTTCAATCAGCACAAAGAGAGTAGAGATGGGGAAGTGGCCTGGACTTGAGACTTGGTGTCCAGATGAAAACTGAATATGACAAAGGAGCCAACGATAACTCTGGGGATTTTAATTTAGGTGACTGAGTAGGGTAAGAAATGTGAGAGAAATAAGGAAAGGGATCTCTCTGTATGTTTATTAACTTAAAGTCCCAAGGGTAACGTGCCCCCAAACTCCCAGCCAGTGCTTGCCCCTACCACTCTGTGCTCACAGCACCTCGCAGAGTACATGATTCACTGTGCTGTCACTATCGGGTTTACCCATCTTTCCCACTGATACAGTAGAACCTGCATTTTCTTATTCTTTTAAGACAGAGTCTTGTGACAGCAGACACTCAGAATATTGATGAAGCAATGATTCAATGAATGACTGAGATGTGAAGCTAGCTGCTGATCATCTGAGTCTGAAAGGTGACACAATTTGGGAGCCATCAACTCTGAGTTAACTAAGCCCTACCACACAGGGAGAATACGCAGTTTAAGGTCAGAGTCCTGGGAATATCACAGGTTTGAGGGGCAAGAAGCATTCACGAAAGAACCTAAGAAGAGAAAGCTGGAGGGTGGTAAAAGGGCATGAAGCGAAGTAGGAAGCTAAAAGTTGTAGGAACCCTAGTAAAGCCCATCAAGGAGGAATGTCTGCACTGACTGTAGCAACCCAAAGTCACTGATACTCTTAGTGAAAAGTGGCAAAATGAAAGTTGCAAAGGGCCACACTGCAGTGGGCTGAGGATCTACTAAAAGATGGGAATTTCTTCAAGTCTTGTTTTAAAAAGGCAAACAAAGGTGCAGTGACTATAATGGGTTGCACAGTTGAGGATTTTCCTGTTTAACTGATAAACAATACTCAAATATGCTCATTCTGTGGGAAAAACAGAATAGAAAATAAGGCAAAGCCAGAGGACATGATGAAATTTCTAGATGCATGTCTCAGAGGACTACGAGTGAAGATGAAGGAATTTTCCTTAAATATGAGGAGAAACTATCCTTCTGAGACTTAGGTAAGACCATAGCTACATTGTGTTCAGAGAAGAGGGGAAGATTGTAATGCAGAAAGTTGTAGGAGGTCCTGGCTAGTGGCTTCAATCATAGATATGAAACAGGTGGCAAAGACAGGTAAACAGTG